GTATTTATTAATTAGCGCTACACCATTTATTTATTTAATTGTGAATTATTACATTAACAATATGTGCCCGCACATAAGGTATGAATGACCCCCCCCCCCCCCCCCCCCCTCCACTAGTTCCATACATATCCAAGCATAATATTAGGCCCACATCCTCCTTACAATAGAATGTGCCTATGTCATTCACATATTACAAATGGCTCCTTGCTACCCCTATGCTCTCTGTTGTTACTTTCCTCCCAGAGGACAGTGCAGGGAAGTCAGATCTTGCTTCCTAGCAGTGGGCACAGTGCTGCAAGTCACTTGTCTAATGACAAGTGGATCTGAGTCAGGGAGGTTTTCTTGAAAACTGCTATAAGTGACCATGTAGCACTTCTCTGCAATCAAGTGTTATACCAACCTGGATTCATGTATGGCAGGCTTAAAGTTGTTGTAAACACTTACATATACCTAGTGAAGTGACTGGCCTCGGGTGCTATACAGAGATTAAAAAAATCCTCCTCCATAGGTTGTACCTATTTATTTACAGTCTTCTCTTCTCTACAGTCAAAGTACAGAATTTTTAAAGCTTGTCTGAGCTTTCAGAAAACGGGGAAGAGAGCTGAAAATATACACTACAGAGCTCAGTGAGTAGAGCTCTGAGAGCTGATTGGAGGGAAGAGACACACCCTTCTTCACACTGCACACAGAAACAAAGCTGAAGCTGTTAATCATAGACTGTGTGCTGAAGCTCCCTCCACTGTCACCTTTCTGCTTTTGGTGCCAGGAAAAATTGTCATAAGTGACTCATGCAGATAGCAGAGGAACAAGGCAGCAGACAGAAATGACACTTAGTGCTCAGTATTGAGACAAGTACACACTGTAGAGGGATATGTTTTGTTTATACTTCATGAGGTTGACAACCACTTTAACACTGAAGCCAAAACTATGTTTTTTTTTTGTGTGTGTGTGTGTGTGTGTGTGTCTGTTGTGGAGATTTTACTTCTCTTCCTCTCAGGACAACAATGAACAGGTTAATGAAATTATCTGATGATTATGTTGATAGTAATTAATAACCCTACACAATCTGACTAATCAATGTATAGAAATGGATTAGCTAATCAATTTGTCACTCAATGTAAATCCATTAACAAGCGTATTATCCAATAAACTCTTGTAACCCTTCTTTTTATCAGACAATTAAGTGCTAACCTATGGTATCATTTAACCTACTACAACCTCTAACCTATAAACCTAGTTGTATTCTGTTTTTGATACATGCTTAATCTATCATATTTATATTACCTATCAGCTAAAAAGGTGAAAAACCAAAGACTACATTTTAATGCAAACACAAATGCAAAAGGAAATAAACAAGTACATGTGATCTGTCTAGTTACTACACACTGTTTGAGCTATAACTGTGCAAAAACAAAACTACGCAAATGCACTTATAAAATGCATTTGTTGATATTAGCACTATGACTTTATAAAGCGATTGTTCAGAATCCAGTTTGGTATTGTTGGCTGGCTGAGAGGCCAAAGTGATTCTTTTATAAATACAGAATCTGTTGTTACTGACCTCCTTGAATGACAATTAGTAATATTCTAGCTAAACAAGGATGCTTTAATAGTTTTAATTTGAAAAAAAAAAAACATGCCGCAGACCATTCTTATTTGACAATGCTATGTCAGGTTTGGGTGTCGATTTTTTCATCACTATATATTTTTTTGGCAGATAGTTTAGGTGATATTTTTGACACAAGGCTCAATTGTTTAAACTATAAAACATGTTTTATTTACTTTGTGCTTTGGCTGACTGGTATTTTCAGCTCTCCTTTGCACTCATTGTTGAAAATATCTGCTATTCTAAACTTAGACTTGCATCTAAACTGACTGCTGTTCCTCTGAAAAGCAATCTGCATTCAGAATGCTTTTCCAGGGCATTTAACATGTGGTCAGGAGGCCATCTTATGTCTCTTCACCGTCTGTAACAACTCCATAATGGCCAAACCAACACAGCACAACTGAGTCAATGCTATGTGCTGCTTGTGCCCCCATTCGGTTGAAGTGTGACAGGAAATGATACATTTTGACACAGATTTTGACACAGATGCAAAGCATCACAACTGTGGCATATAAAAATGCCTGTCCCCAACTTTGAACTCATAAATGCTCAGAGCTGAGCGCTTCTAAATTCATTAAATGCAGAAGAGATTATGGATTAGGGTTGTTAAAGTATTAGGCTAAAGTTAAGTGTTAAAGTCTAATTCTATTTTATTCTATCACTAGCAACCTACTAATTTGAAAAATGCAGGTCTCACTGCAATACTCTTCTTGTCTCCAGCCCTGTCCCCTGCAAAAATGCCGTTCAGCCACTGGTCCTCTTCTGGGTAGAATGACAACCAACAACATTAAAGAACAATTCCCAGTATTAATATTTTTACATAATCACATTGGCCCAGCTTTCATCAATGTAACTACACATATAAAATACCTGTAGAATCCTTCTAGAAGCTGGAAATCACTGTTGTAGATACTGCTACTCTAGTGAACTCCACAAGCTTCCAGGTCCCCTGCCAAGTGGTTTCTCTCTGCTGCATTGTGAAGGCTGAAGGTTGGCTGCTGGGCATGGGTGCCATTCACAGACTACTTTGCATTTTTGCAGAATGGGTCATGTTCATGGCAGTACTGTCCTCTGAATGCCTCAAAGCAAAGTATCGCAGCCCCAGCATATGCAGTGCCCCAAGCTGCTGCATGCCCTTCTTTGGTTGGATGGTTAGGAACAGTTGAGGGCAGTTAATCCATGGCTCAACCACCTTCTTTTATTGCCCCCTGGTCAACTACACTATATTGCCAAAAGTATTGGGACACCCCTCCAAATGATTGGATTCAGGTGTAGCTATCACCTCCATGGCCACAGGTGTGTATAATAAAGCACCTAGGCATGCAGACTGCTTCTACATACATTTGTGAAAGAATGGGCCGCTCTCAGGAGCTCAGTGAATTCAAGCTCTGGTACTGTGATAAGTTGTCACCTGTGCCATAAGTTCATCTGTGAAATTTCCTTGCTGCTAAATATTCCATGGTCAATTGTTAGTTGTATTATAACAAAGTGGAAGTAACTGGGAACAACAGCAACTCAGCCACGAAGTGGTAGGCCACGTAAAACGACAGAGCGGGGTCAGCGCATGCTGAAGCGAACAGTGTGCAGAAGTCACCAACTGTCTGCAGAGTCAATGAAGACCTCCAAACTTCCTGTGGCCTTCAGATTAGCACAACAACAGTACGTAGAGCATTTCATGGAATGGATTTCCATGGCTGAGCAACTGCATCCAAGCCTTACATCACCAAGTGCAATGCAAAGCGTCGGATGCAGTGGTGTAAAGCATGGTGCCACTGGATGCTAGAGCAGTGGAGACGTGTTCTCCGGAGTGATGAATTATGCTTTTCTGTCTGGCAATCTGATGGATGTGTCTATGTCTGGTGGTTGCCAGAAGAACAGTACTTGCCTGACTGCATTGAGCCAAGTGTAAAGTTTGGTGGAAGGGGGATTATGGTATGAGGTTGTTTTTCAAGGGTTGAGCTTGGCCTCTTAGTTCCAGTGAAAGGACCTCTTAAGGTGTCAGCATACCAAGACATTTTGGACAATTTCATGCTCCCAACTTTGTGGGGACACAGTTTGGGGATGGCCCCTTCCTGTTCCAACATGACTGCACACCAGTGCGCAAAGCAAGGTCCATAAAGACATGGATGAGCGAGTTTGGGGTGTAGGAACTTGACTGGCCTGCACAGAGTCCTGACCTCAACCCGAAAGAACACCTTTGGGATGAATTACAGCGGAGACTGCGAGCCAGACCTTCTGGTCTGACATCAGTGTCTGACCTCACAAATGCGCTTCTGGAAGAATGGTCAAACATTCCCACAGACACACTCCTAAACCTTGTGGACAGCCTTCCCAGAGGAGTTGAAGCTGTTATAGCTGCATAGGGTGGGCCAACTCAATACTGAACCCTACGGACTAAGACTGGGATGCTATTAAAGTTCATGTGCGTGTAAAGGCAGGCGTCCCAATACTTTTGGCAATATAGTGTATGCCAGAGAGCCTTTACCCTAGGTTCATACTTGTGTAGGTTGGCGGCCCGCGCTTGCGCAGGCGCTGCAGCCCATTAATTTGAATAGGCTGCTGTGCATGCTTTTCCCACAAAAAAGGTGCTTGCAACATTTTAAAAACATGGCCACAGGGAAATCCCTGCAGTTCCTGCACCCGCAAACATGCTGCAGGTTTAGATGCATGGAGGTACCATTAGGAATGAATTGCGTGTCTCTACAGAACAGCGTATTTTGGTTGCGGATGTGTGCGCAGCTGCGATTCTCACAACCACCCTGCACAGTGGTGAACCTAGCATTCATGTCAGTGTGTTTAGGTAGGACAAAAAAAAAGCAAAAGGCACACTCTTGGCCCTATTACAGGAACAAACACAAATAATATACACATGTGGTAGCGCCATGAATGCCAGGAGTAGGAAAATTTATTTCAGGACTTTTAGTGGTATGTCATGACATTATAATGGCAATAAATATAACTCTACAATGTAAAAACTTTTATTTTGTACTATTTTGTTCTAATTTTCCTTTGATAATAAAAAAACAGGAGATATTCCTTTACATTTGTCACCAAATTAAATCCTAATTTATCCTTTAACCACCTTCCACCTGCCATATAGTACAATGACGGGCGCAAGGTGGTTCTCTCGTTCTGATAGGACTCAGCAGATCACAGAAAGAGCCGAAGATGTCGGCTCGGTCATGTGATCAGCTGTGTCCAATCACAGCTGATCACATGTAAACACGGAAATGCCGGTTATCGGCATTTCTCTCCTCTCGAGTTGTCATGCTGACAGCTCGAGAGGAGAGCCGGTAATCGGTTTTTTCGCGGAGGGGACATGTTACACTGATCATCAGGGCACTGATGATCAGTGTGCCCTGATGATCAGTGTGGCCCCAGAAGTGCCACCTGCCAGTGTCCATCAGTGCCAGCAGTCAGTGCTTATCAGTGCCACGTGCCAGTGCCCATCAGTGCCACATCAATGCCACATATCAGTGCATACCAGTGCACATCAATGACACATATCAGTGCCCATCTGAGCTGCCTTTCAATGTCACCCATCAGTGCCAGTCAGTGCCACCTATCAGTGCTGCCAATCAGTGCCACCTATCAGTGCCAGTCTGTGTCGCCTATCAGTGTGCATCAGTGCCGCCTATCAGTGCCAGTCAGTGCCGCATGTCAGTGCTGCCTAACAGTGCCAGTCAGTGCTGCCTAACAGTGCCAGTCAGTGCCGCCTTTCAGCGCCGCCTATCTGTGCCATATATCAGTGTCATGTATCAGTGCTGCCTTTCAGTGCCCATCAGTGATGCCCGTCAATGCCATCAGTGCAACCTACCAGTGCCTCCTCATCAGTGCCACCTATCAGTGTCCATCAGTGTGCAGCCTATCAGTGCCCATCACTGCAGCCTCATTACCGCACATCAGTGAAGGAGAAAAAATCACTTATTTACAAAATTGTATAACAAAAACTAAGAAAAAACTTTTTTTTCAAAATTTTCCAGTGGTTTTTGGTTTGTTTAGAGAAAAAATAAAAATCCCAGATGTGATTAAACACCACCAAAAGAAAGCTCTATCTGTCTCAAAAAATGATAAAAATTTCATATGGGTACAGTGTTGCATGACCACGCAATTTTCATTCAAAGTGTGACAGCTCTGAGAGCTGGAAATTGGCCTGGGCAGGAAGGGGGTATAAGTGCCCTGTAGGCAAGTGGTTAAAAATAAGACCTAGTTAACCAGCATACACTAAGTGTTTGCGATGATATGTACAGTTTTAGCAACATATGTCACGGAGGCAAAACTGTATTCAGGTGTTAATTTTTGATTAAGCTGGCCACTCCTTACAGTTTGTGCAACTTCTGTATAGTCTCCTTTATGCTGGTTTTACATGTAACAATAAACAATTTATTATAAATTCAATAATGATGGGTTAAAGCTGAACTCCAATATAGGAAAACATTGACTAAGTAAAAGAGTTGTGTGTATTATTTCTTGAATCTTGGTGTGCTTTGTGTATTTCTTCCATATCTGTGCTGTAATCTAGTGTAAAACTTCTCCAAATGACAGCCAGGATTGCTACCTAATACACAGCAGGAGCTCCTGTCAAATGCAAATGACACTTGCAGATAGTCTTCAGGTGTCATTGAATAAATACAATATAACAATGTATTGCTTCATTGTATTTACTATTTCATTTATATGTCAATCAAAGGGTGTGACCTTTGCATATGATATCAGTTCATCTTTTTGCTACCAGAGCAGTTTGTTTTTTTTTTTTTGCAAGCATTTTAACACCGATGGTAGTTGCATTTTTTATGGAGCGCCATATTTACACAACTGTTTATTAAATCTGTATTTTCACAGACAATACGATAAAATTAGTTCTTTTGCACACAAATACAATATTATTATTATTATTATACAGTATTTATAAAGCGCCAATAGTTCGCTCAGCGCTGTACATTACAAAAGGGAGACAGAACATGTGACAGAACAATACCAATACAATGCAAGACATGAGGGGATCAAGGGCCCTGCTCTTTCGAGCTTACAATCTAGGAGGGAAGGGGTGGTGGCACAGGAGGAGATAGCTGTGGGGGATGGAGTGGTAGGAAGAGTGGAGGAGGTCGGCAAGTTAGCAGGGGGTGGGGTAGGCTTCCCTGAAGAGATGGGTTTTCAGGGTGCGCCTAAAGGAGAGGAGAGTAGGTGATAATCTGATGGTTGGGGCAGGGAGTTCCAGAGGATGGGTGACACCCTGGAGAAGTCCTGGAGGCGGGCATGGGAGGAGGAGACCAGGGAACTAGAGAGAAGGAGGTCTTGTGAGGAGCGGAGTGTGCGTGCTGGGCTGGGCGGTACTTGGATATTAGGTCAGTGATGTAGTTCGGGGCAGTGTGGTGGACAGCTTTGTACGTCAGCGTTAGGATTTTGAATTTGATCCGTTGCGCAATCGGAAGCCAGTGGAGGGATTGGCAGAGGGGGGTGGCGGAGACAGTGCGGTTGGAAAGGTGAATGAGTCTGGCAGCCGTGTTCAGGATGGACTGAAGAGGGGATAGCCAGCGGCGAGGCAGGCCAGTGAGGAGGGAGTTGCAGTAGTCGAGTCGTGATATGATGAGGGAGTGGATGAGCTGTTTAGTGGTTTCTGGGGTTAGGAACGTGCGGATTTTGGCGATGTTGCGGAGGTGGAGTCTGCACGAGTTTGTTAAAGATTGGACTTGGGGCTGGAAGGATAGGTTGGAGTCCAGAATGACACCCAGTACTCTGGCCTGCAGGGCGGGTTTGATGGTAGCGTTGTTGGATGTGACGGAGAAATCAATGAGGGGTGGTGTCCGGGCTGGGGGGGAAGACAAGAAACTCGGTTTTGGAGAGGTTCAATTTAAGGAAGTGGAGCGACATCCAGTCTGATATGTCGCTCAGTAGGTGTGTGATTCGGGCTGAGACCAAGGGGGTGAGGTGGGGGTTGAGAGATAGATTTGTGTGTCGTCGGCATAGAGGTGGTAGTTGAAGCCGTGAGAGTGTATGAGTTGGCCAAGGGAGGAGGTATAGATGGAGAAGAGAAGGGGCCCGAGGACAGAGCCTTGAGGGACCCCAACAGAGAGGGGGAGTGAGGGGGAGGTTTGGTAGCATTATAGGTAACGCTGAAGGAGCGTTGTGACAGGTAGGATGAGAGCCAGGAGAGAGCAGAATCTCTGAGGCCGAGGGAGTGTAGTGATATGATCTCCATTTTTTGTAAAAAAATAAAAGATAAGGTTGTGTTAGGTAAATAGGTACCAAATGTGTTGAGGCCTGATAACTACATGTGCCAGCAAAATAGTGAAAAATTATAATACTCAAAATCAGCAAGAAACACTTTAAAAGTCATTTAGAGTTAATCGTAAATAAAAGGTGTGTAGAATTATTTATCTTATTCTGTGTTGCATAATCATTGTTCGCATACATGTGAACCCTACATCTGCATGTGCATTATTTTTTTAATATTTAAAACATGTCACTTTTTTCCACTTTGATACTTTATTACTATCACAAAGGGGCTAACAAGCCCTCATGTAATAGCATTGGGAAGGTGACAGGCACTCTTTATGGATACATCAGGGTTCTATTAGACTTCTAATGTCTCTGCAGCTGAGCATAGACTGTGCTTGATCTGAGCTTGATCTTGAGCTTTTGCAGTTGACATTTGACAGCTCTGTACCCGCAAATGCTCAGCACAAGATTCACAATCTTCATTGACATTAAGAAATGAATGACTCTCAATGACCTACTGCTTGATATCAAACAATGTTTATTGCAGTCCTGGACTACCCAAGAAGTAAGGAAGGATCAATTTTACTAAGTAGCCTTGAGCCTGCTAAATAAAAATATAAATTAGCTGTTGCAGCCATAAGTTCGTTTTGACCCACTCAAAGCCAAAATGTATGGAACACATTCTGTGTAGCAAAATGGTTAAGTAAAAAATATGCATTAATACTTAATCCTTATTAACCCTAATTAGCCCTAATTAAATCCTTTCTTCCCATGGCTAATAATTGTCTGCTAATAATTTTCTGCTGATTTTTTTTTTATATGTCTTTCATTAATTTTTACTTTTTTTTTTCATTTTGTTTCTTTTCAGTGTTGCATAAAGAAAATGTGCCAAAATGAAAAAAAAAAAAACATATTTTTCATTTGTAAATAACTTTGCTGTACCTTGAACCAGAAAAATTATTTTGTGTTTTAATAAATTGGGCAAATTGTAAAGTGTTTTTGCCTGTATATGACATCGAAAATAACATAAAAATAAACACATTTTTGCAAAACATTAGAAAAGACAATAGAAAGCTTAGCTTATCCCCACCAAAACAAAAAACATGTATGTATTACATTTTCTAAGTAATGACAAAGAAATCACTGAATAAACAGGCCTACAATGGACTGTAGTTGTTCAGGTCCATAAGGGGTATAAAGGTATGAGAGTTTTGGTGGTTAATATTTTATTAATATAACACTCACCTGTAAGCAAGTTGAAATTGCAGCGTGTCCACTGGTCATTGTCGATATTATAAGAATCTATATGCCGCACCAAAATCCTGTCATTATTGTAATCCAAATCATTTCCTCCCATGACATAAAGCTTTCTTTGGACTGCTGCCATTGCATGGTAAACTCTTCTCTGCAGCATAGGACTGCGACTAATCCACTTATTCTGCAAAAAAAAAGCACTGAGATGGTTTATAAATTGTTTAGTCAAATACAATTAACCTATACAGTTTTACATGCCACGTGTAAAAGCAATGTAAAATGATGTAAAATAGTGAACCTTCTGATTAAGGCAAAGAAAAGGTAGCTTCACGTTATTAAAGGAACTGTAAAATTTAACATATTAAAATATTATAAATAGTTGTTCCCCTATGAGCAATCTGTTTGTGCTTGCAAAATTACTCACTAAAGCCTTTCTAATCCAGATAGGTACTTAAATGAAACACTAAACATACAGTTAGGTCCATATATATTTGGACACAGGCACAATTTTAGTTTTTTTTCAGGTATGTACGTAAAAACATATTCAAGCTATAGTTATATAATGGATATGAGCTGAAAGTGCACACTCTCAGTGCACTCTTTAATTTCAGGGTAGGTAAATCCAAATTTGAGAAACGGTTTTGGAATTACAGCTCTTAAGAGTAGCCATCCCCCCTTTTTCAAGGGACCAAAAGTAATTGGACAATTGAAGCAAAAGCTGTTTCATGGCCAGGCGTGGGCTACTCCTTTGTTATTCCTTCATCATCATTTGCATATGGAATCTATTGCTGTGAACCAAATATTGCTTTCATAGGAGCTGTCCATGCAAGTGAAACAGGCCATTGTAAGGCTTCAAAAACAAAACAATATAAGTCCATCAGAGAGATAGCAGCAACATTAGGAGTGGCCAAATCAACAGTTTAGTACATTCTTAGGAAAGAAGAACGCACTGGTGAGCTCAGCAACATAAAAAGGCATGGACATCCACGGAAGACAACAGTGGTGAGTGATCGCAGGATCCTCTCTATGGTAAAGAAAAACCCATTCACAACATCCAGACAAGTGAAGGACACTCTCCAGGAGGTGGGGGTATCATTGTCAAAGTCTACAATCAAGAGAAGACTTCACCAGAGCAAATACAGAGGGTTCACCACAAGGTGCAAACCATTGATAGGCCTGAATAATAGAAAAGCCAGATTGGACTTTGCTAAAAAAACATCTAAAAAAGCCAGACCAGTT